AAATCGAGTGAAGCAACTTTCATAGTTTATTATTGAATTAAAGTGCAGAGCTTTTATCCATCTTTTGACTAGTGCTGGATAAAACGTTAAATAATGGATCCATTTTTATTTTATTTCAATTAAAGGACGTATGTTATTTTTACTTTCCCAAGTAATTAATTGCAACCATTCCGCTAAAAATGATTTAGTCCACGTAAAAAAAATTCCGGGCTTGCCAATTGGTACGTTTATGGTTGCACCATCATGAAATTAAAGAGAGCGACAGCCGGAATGATACACTAATCCTTCATCTTGCCCCGAACCAAATGGTCCAGATTGATATGATTTGTCCCGATTATCAGTTACCAAAATGCAAATACAATGTCCCTAGACGCTAATATACTGGGAATACCTCAGAATGAGTAATGGACAGCCCAAACAGGATTAGTTTTTCAATAGTTTTGAGACAGGAACTCAATTGTCAGCGAACGCTCCTATCGCGTGTAAAACTATCATTGATCCCGGCACTTATGCAGATGATTCGACGGATTGTTTAGAACGTTGGTAGGATGTCTTTCTGTTTGCATAAGGCACAACTGGCCACTAGTGTTAGCATTGCTTTTCTGATAAAAGAGATTATTCTGACGTGGCTGGATGGGTCAGATATCGTTGTAAAATGGCTAGAATGACTACACTGCACAAAACAATACTTGAGTGTCCGATATTTGTCGGACGTATATAGGAGTTTGTATGAGATCGTAGGATTTTGATCCATGTTTCTTTCAAAATGCAGAATTGTAAGGCACAGGTTATCTTAACTTTTGTATGTTCTATCGTATTGCAGTGTATGAAAAAAAAAATCGTTGGCAAGCTATCCAACGCATAACCAGAGCCGCCATTGGCTAATTTCCGGTGAGTTTGAGGTCACTCAGGAGATCCCGCAAAACACGGAGTCCTCAACGGAGAGAAGCCCCTTCAACGGCAGGCACCATCATGGACGGCGAGGGCGCTGCAGAAACTCTAGAGGTGACAGCAAAGGATGTCCGGGACGCATG